CTCGCACCGAAGTAGTCTTCTTCTAAAATTGTGGAAAATCATTTGATATTGTACATAAGTACATTAAATGCTGTAGATTGTGCTATTTTGTGAGAAGGAAAGTAGGAATCTAATGCACATTCAACAACTATTTTAAAAAGGAGAAGGAGAACCAGTCTTCTCGTATCGGTACTCAATCTTAATCAGAACTATCGAGGGCTCGATTACCTTTAAATGTGAAGGTAAAACGGTAGGATTGCATTTCAGGAATTAGATAACCTCACCGCTTCACGTGATTTAGCTGATTTGCCATACATCGATTCATCGTATTCGGCCACGAAGGGAACAGCTGGAGGAAATACAGCTCCGACCACAAGGCTCAAGATAAACTAAAGGAAACCGACTTTAGCAATAGGTACACCACAGGCCTTCATTCCATTCAAGGGATTAAAATGTCTACCCTTCCAGATAGCCTTTTAATGAGAAGTTTGTAAGCCCACACGCGATCCAGGTACTCCTGGCAGGCTCGGTGCTGCATGAACTCCCTGCAGTTACCCTCCGACGCAATCATCAGACAGGAGAGCATGGCAAAACTCCTTCTCTCCATCACCAACAGTTGCATTGTATTTTCCTTATTGTTGAAGTAGCAGGCATCCAAAATTGAAACAGCTAGCTGTTCAAACTCACTGAAGCAAAAATAACGGTTCACAGCGATTTATTTACGTCAATTGCTTAAGACAATGGAACTGTACACTTTCATGCAACCCAGCTGCTGTGCTTACTAACGTTTAATTAAGAATAGATAAAAATCTTAAACGCCCATTCTGCTTAACAATACTCCACTTTAAGACTGGATATTTGGATGAAATCTGGCTTTGGAACAAGGCGTAAGGGCGGAAGAACAAAATTTATCCATCATGCTTAGCAATGTCATATATTAAAAAGTTTATTTTTCATCAATCGAAATGTCTGGAGATGTTCGACTTTCACAACTCTTCTACGGTCACACTATGAAAGTAAATCTTATAAAGTGTCACAATTTATGACAGTGAGGCTCCACCCGAGCACAGCGATTGCATGCGGAATGCTGGCCCGAAACGTGGTTAAAATAGCAAAAAATAAAGTAATTGTAATAAATAAAGAAGACGCAAGGGTAATAAACGCGCTGTGCCAAATTTTCACCGACGTGTCTAACTATTGCTATGCCCTGTTTAAAGGGATGTGGAAAGAACGCACGAAGCAAATCGCCTCTGATCCATGCTATCTGAAGGAGATCGAGTTTTCTTGGAAATGCGACGTAGGAAGGTTGCAGCGAAGAGGGCTCCGGCAGTTATATCAGTCAGCGTCGTCAGTAGGAAGTGCGCCATCTCAAAACGCCGAGTAATCAGTGCCCACAGGTAGAGGTATTGTATGCAATGCTCCTTTTCTGCTTGTGAAAACAGGCACTAGCGTAGATTAGGCCTTAATCCTCATAGAAGAACATGCAAAATTT